TGCGTGGATAAAATGGGGCAACAGCACCAACTGCACCGGGTCGCTTATGAGGAGGAAGTGCACCAAGGCCTATGGAGGGCCTAAAGGGAGGCTGGGGGCTTCCTTTAAAGGGTGGTCTCTGGGCCCCACCCTGGCCCACCGTGGTCCAGCCCAGCTACATGGAGGATAAAGCACACCAGGCACCTACTGGGCAAGGCCCCGTTCTTGGCGTCGCAGAACCAGCTCGCTGAATCGGCATCCCTACCATGTAGGAGCTGTTATGATTCCCATCTTACTGAGAAACTGAGGCACAGGGCAGCGCCAGGATTTGGCCTTCTGATTTCGGAGTCCTGTGCTCTTAAGCTTTAGGTTCAAGGTTGCCCATGTCTCCTACCCCCTGATCCTTTCCCCCTGAAGTGTCTGGATGGAAAGAGCCAGGTCCTTGGTCAGCAGAGGGTAACTCACCATTTTTGTCCGCACGGCGGAAAATCTGCAGAGAAGAGAGGTCGAGTCAGCTCTGGGCTGGGGAGGGGCAGGCACCCTCCTACAGCTTCTGACCTGACCCAGTACAGAGATCCCTCTCCTCTCCCAAGAGCAACTCTGGGCCTGGGACAGCTGAGATTCCCACCCTCCCGCTCCAGGGAAGGAGACCCTTGGGCTGGAATCCAGGGCGGGGGAGGGACGTTTCAGACAGAGGCCCTCCCAGCCGCCCGCAGCTGAAGCAGCCACTGTTCCCTCCTGTGCCGCCAGCCTGCGCACAGCCACAGCGACAGACACACATGTGCGCCTGCACGCTCACACCCACGCCCATCCCTGCAGGTGCACGTCCACGGCCATCGCTCCACGCAGCTTCGCCCACGGCCCAACGCTCAGTCGCACACAAGCTCACTTGGTGTTTGTGTCCCATGTACAGCCACAGCCTTTACCACCGCGCTCCTCCACACTCCGTGGGTTTTCCCAGGGAGGCTGGCTTAAGTCTGAAGGGAGGTGCCCAAGATGCCTGGCGAGGGGACCGGCTAAGGGCTGGACTGCATTACTCTTGGGGTGGGGGAGAAGCAGGAGCCAGGACCCAGGAAACCAGCTGCAGACAGGTTCTAGCTGCATCAGGCAGGGATGGGAGAGCAGGCTACCCAACCCCAGCCTGAACTTGGGGACAAGGTAACTCCTTCCCTGGCCTTTCCAGTGACATGTGCATACCTGGGGCAGGCCATTCTGCATCCCTCAAGGTTAGGTGGGTGCTTTGTGATCGGGGCTGGAGCCCAGATGGGGCTCTAGGGCAGCCGTTCCTCTCCTTCCATCACAGGACAATTGCCTGCGGAGCTTGAGGAGCATGGACTCCCCACCCCCACTCCCAAGCCGATGCCACACCCCAGGGCAACAAGATCAGCCTCTCTGGGACAGAGCCAGGTAACAGCATTTTTAAAGCTTCCCAGGTACCATCAGTGTTGATGCCTGTGTGCTAAGACCTTGCTATTCGTAGAGGCTTGAGGTTCTGTGGCATCTCACCTGGGAGCTTGTTAGAAATGCACCCCAGACCCACTGAATCAGAATCTGCATTTTAACTAGGCCCCCAGGGGATTAATTCCCCAGCACATTAAAGTCTGAGAAGACCCCAGGGCATGAAGTGGCTCCCACCCCAGTCTTAATTGGCTTATTTTAGCAAGGAGGAAACTGAGGCCCAGGGAGGGGCAGCAACAGGCTCCCCCATGTTTTCCCAGACACCAGGGAGGTGTGACTGGGAGGAGGTAAACCATGCAGGAAGTACTACTCTCTTTAACCATCCCATCTTTGGTCCTTGCCCTGGGGCAAAGGACAGATGGCCCTCCACACCCCATATCCCTGCAAGCAATGGGGCAGAGGCACTCTTGGCCATTACCAGGCACCTGGGTGGTCAGGCTAAAGCTGCAGCTCAGGAAGGGCTTCCCAAACGTTGCCCTCCCCCTGGCTGGACCCTGAGTCCTGGGTGCCCTGACTCAGGTAGAAGGGGCAGCAGTTATCAGATCATCCAGGCATACCCAGCCTGGGAACCCCACACCCCTGCTCCTAACTGGGAAAGTTCCTCGAAGCTGGGGTCCCAACCTGGGTACCCCCAGGTTCCCCCAAAGCCTGAGTGTTCAACAATGAATGACATGGCCACTGCTGACATCTGGTGGCACTGGCTCCAGGGGTCTGCAAGAGCAACACCCCACTCTCTCGCTCCACCTCGCAGAGGAGGACATGGAGGCTCAGAGTCCGCAGAGGGCCAGCTTGAGGAGGACTCGGAGCCCACTTCCATCACTGCTGCAGGAGAGGAGGCAAGACGGGCCTGGGCAAAGGCAGGCCTGAGTCTGTGGGGCCTCAGCCTTTCAGGACTTTCAGCTGTGTACTCTGCTGGGGTCCTGAGAGAGGACAGCTGTGCAAGTGTATGTCTTGCTGTGTGTGAGTGTGTGTGTTTGGGGGCACGAGAGCTCCCCCTGCTCTGTCCAGCCCTCCCCACCCAGACCTGACTATGGGTTGCAGAAGCATAGAAGAGGAGAGAGGGAGAGAGGGAATCCAGGCTCCTCATGCTCGCAGGGGTGGGTGGCACACATGTACACACTCGCACACACACAGAAACACACCCACAACTCTCCCAGAAGCCCACGACGCACGCAGAGGCGCCCCAGCCCCCACACGCTGCACACACCTCCAAGATTCCCCCAGTGCCTACAGCTCTCTGCAAGAAGTCCCCCACCCCTAAGCCATCCACCCTCCCAGGTGGGGTGGGTGGAAGGGGGCGGTGGGCTTCCCAGACGTGGGTTGCTTTGGTCCCAGAGGAGCTAGGAGGGGTCCATGAAGAAGACCTAGTTCTTGGTAGTGAAGGGTGGGGGTGGGGAAGGGAATGGAAGACGGAAGGGGGCTCAAAGTGGAGTGGGGGTGGGGAAGCCCAGAGGGGTCCAGGCCCAGGGCTGATGGGCGACGGTTCTGGTTCTGTGGAAAGATGGATAGGAAGATAGCAGGTGGGGAGGGGGCTGCACTTTTAAAGTGACGGTGTCTGGGGGCAAAGGGTTTTTGGGGATGAGATTAGAAGGGCTCAGAATCTAGAACACAGAGGTGGGGCCGGAGCTAGGCGTTGCTGGGGGTCTCAGAAAAGTATCGCAGTGGGCAGGGATCCAGGGTCCAGAGGAGGAGGGGGCTGGTGGGCGGCGGCCGGGGGGTGGGAGCTTTGGCTAAGGACAAAAGTAGGGGGAAGTGGCCGGATCCGAGGGGCTCAAGGGTCCCGGCTGCGGGAAGGCGGGGATCCCGAGAAGTGTACAGAGGGACGGAAGGGAGGAGGGTCTTCCCGGTCCAGGGACGAGAGAGGACTGGGGTGGAGACCGTCCCCGGACGTGGAGGGACTGGGGACTCGCGCTCAGGGACGCGGAGGAGCGGGTGAAGGTCCTGCCCCGTGGGGTCGCCGAGGGGGATGGGCAGGGGGGCGTCCCCCGTCAGGGAAGAGGGGGTCTCCGGGTCCCAGCCGGGACGGGGCAGGGCGGCGTCGGGGTCCCCCGCTGGGGGGCGGGGGTCTCCGGGTCCCGGCCGGCGCGTACTCACGTCCAGGATGACGGCGGTGCCCCCGCGCGGCGAGGCGGGGCCGGGGCCGGGGTCGGCGGCGGG